GGGGACGTTGCCACTGAAAGTCTTCCATATAGAACTGTCGCTTTCGCTAAATCAGTTTAGCATGTTTCACAGCTCTTAGATGAATAGAAAAGCACAAACCTGCGCATGAACCGCAGTTGCTAGAATAGCGAGAATCATAGCATGGAACACTTCCATCGTTGAACTGCAAATAGCTGCAAATGACCACCCAAACAGCTGCGAATTGGGTTCTGAAGCTAGTAGTTATCTTTATGAAAAGTGAGCTTATATAGCTCACAGCCATGGCTTATCAGCACTTACAACGTGTTGAGCCGGTTGCCCGATATCAGCACTGAACCGTTATGGTTAAAGCTACACTAGTTATAGCTTGCTTTGACTTGATCTTTTGTTAATTGCTGTTATATTGCCGCAGTACGCGACGCCAGAGTTTCGCAAGGACTACGATTTATGGAGAATACCTCAGAACAATGGCCCGGAAAGCACAGCACGGGTTTGAGTCTAGTCTGAGACTGAAGTTTTGTCCATAAGTCGTCATCCTATGAGACTTTCGCATCGCGTACTGCGGCGATATAGCAGCAGTTAGCAAAACATTGAGTTCATGTGCTTGAGCGAACCTCTCGATACCATTGAAGCCACTCAGTCTTTTAGCGAAACTGGTTCGCATTATGGCTCACACTTCGATATTGACAGACAACTTCTGCCAACGACTTTTCCGTTTTTGAGCACGAAATCATTTTCATCAGAAACATGGTGATTGCAATTTATGAAAACGGCTCAATTGAGCTGAAAGCTCTTCAGATCCTAATCGGAAATCCGAAATAGGAGTTTTGCGAATATTGCCATCACTGGGCTTCATCCGACAATTGTTGAGTTTATAAGCTTATAGAAATAAAGAATTCCGTATGGAAACTCCCGTATCACGATCAAATAAATTAACTATTTCATTTATGAAACAGAACTTTGTGTGTCAGTATGTAAGTTCGTCGATGTGCCCCTGCGTCGATATGCCCGTGTGGCGGTTTGTCGGTCTGTCCGTCCGCAAAACCTTTGATTTCGATAAAAGTAGTAATATGGAAAGACTTGCTCTACTCAAAACTTCCTTCTTATACATAATTCAGTAACTTGGTGGGTAAGTTGATGGAGTAGAGTGAGTATGCGGAGTAAAGTGGAGTGAAGTGGATACTTCAAAACTGTGATTTCGATCTGAACCGCCGGCATCGTGCTATGTATGCCTTCACAAAAATAGGAGGTGATAGGAGAGTTAAGAGTTGATAAGCTCATTTATTTTTGTTTTCGAATACAGTTTGAATGCCACAAAACTTTAAGGGTGAAGTGTAGATGATTTTGTGAGGCGGGTACAAAAAAAGGATCGCTCGAGCAGTAGCCCCCACGATTCTATGATAATTTTTTGAAAATCGACAAATAAATTGAAATCTTCAGCATAAGGTAAGGCTTCAAGTAACTCATGGCATATATTCAAAAACTGGCTCCCAAGAAAAACGTCTAATCGAGAAATGGGCCTCTGAGAGAGAAACATAAAATCGAAAAGACCGTTCACTGCTTACAAATGAGTGTAGTGGTTCAGGAATATGAGTATGGATATTTTCTTTTCTATAGCTGTTCAGGAGCTTCGGAAAAAGGGAAGGAGTGGTGATGTTGTGCTAAAGCTGCCATATCGTTTACAATGTTTATTTTTATTACGCTGGTGAACTGTGGCTGAGTTGGCACCTCTCTAGCGAGAAACCACAAAGGTCATCCTGCACGAAACTTTAGACTTTTCTTGGAAAACGTCGACGACCGTTCGAACGTTCCCTCTCAAAGAAACGATGTAGGTCGTCAAGCATTCTGGCAAGTTCATCCTGAAAAGTGTTTGAAAAAGAACGACACCCATAAAAAACTAGCAGCAACGAATAAACAAGGCCGAACATCGTAGTAAGGATACTCCGACTCATAATCGCTGTTCAAAAGTTCACCCTCAAGGTAACGAAGGAGGTCCTCTTTCATTTTGGTGAATTCAACCTGAAAATTGTTTGAAAAAAGAATTGCATATATAAAAAACGTTCGACAGTGAAGAAGCGAGACCAAACCTTGTTCTTGAAATGTTCCCTATCGAAGTTACGGGGAATTTCATCTCGCACTCTGGTAAACTCTTCCTGAAAATTTTTTGAAAAAGAACGACGCCCATAAAAAACAAGCAGCAACTGAGAAACAAGACCGAACATCATAGTAATAATACTCCGGCTCGGGATGTGGTCGCCGATATCTGTAGTACCGATAAATCTGAAAAATAATCGAAAAGG